AAGGGGAGTCATTGGGGATGACCTAGTGAAGGGACAGTGTGGGGAGGGGTGTGCACAGGAGAACAGACCTGGTGGATGTCAGTAGAGTCAAATGGCATTGAGGGGGCAGCCACAAGTTTATGCTGATCAAACATGTTGGGGTATCTGATAGCCTCTCATGGTCCATATTCTGCTAGAGTTTGAATGAATTGTTGTTTTAATATTTGGAAAAATTAACCACTGGGAGGGCCAATGGCTGGAAGCCCTGGTGGGAAGGAGGGCAAATGGAGTCCTAGGCCCGGTGAACCTCCAACTTCTGCCCCACACACTGTGGGTGTTATACACATGCATAGCCATACCCTGATTTTCAAGTGGGCACTGGGATGCAAACTCTGGTCCTCATGCTTACATGCAAGCACTCCAACCCACTGGGTCACCTATCCAGCTCTGATCCAGGAGTTATGACTTCCAGATGTTGTGTCTACTGTTCTAGAAGTCTCATCTTATAAATTTGTACATTGTTTTTCTTCATTCTGGTGCTTGAATCTGAGCACAAGGCCTCACACATGATGGGAAAGGGCTACAGTCCCAGCTACCTCTATCTAATTTCTTCTACATTTTGACAATCTAGTGAAATGCTTTTTCTTTCACATATTTTGTGCATTTTCTGCTGTTTACTTAAATACATGAAATTTACTTTACAGTCTACTTTTCCCTAGTGCCAGAATCTGTTCCAATTGTCTCAGATTTTTCTGTCTTTTTTTTTTTTTGGTTAAGAGAACTGTCATGCCAGGCATGGTGGCACAGGCCTCTTTTCTAGCTCTTGGGAAGCAGGGGCAGGGAGATGTCTGTGGGACAGAGACCAGCCTGATCTACATAGTGAGATCCTGTCTCAGAAACAGAAACAGGCAGGGGGGCTTTGTGTGGTGGTGCATCATGCCTTTAATCCCAGCACACAGGAGGCAGAGGCAGGCAGATCTCTGTGAATTCAGGGCCAGCCTGGTCTACATAGCTGAGGCCACATTGAGACCTTGTCTCCAAAACACCAAAAAATACAAATAAAATAACTGCCACCCAAAGGCTCCTGTACTGGAGATTTCATGTCCAGCAGGCAGCCAGATTGGGGAGTTAGAACCTTCAGGACAGGGGCTTAGCAGAAGGAAGTGAAGTCTTGGAGGACATGCCCTTGAGGGGACAATGGGCCCCCATCCCTCTTCTCCTCTCACTTGCTTCTAGGGTGCTGTGACAGGAGCAGTGGAGTGCTCTCACTATGCTGTCTGCTTGCCAGGGCTCAAAGGCAACAGCTACCAATGTGGATGAATCTCCAAAAATGTGAACTGACATCATCTCTATTCTTATTTAACTGAAGATCTCTGACAAAACCTCAAGAAATACAAAAAGATTGAAATAATTCTATGCATTCTATCAGACCACAATGCAATAAAGTTTACAATCAACACCCGAAGAAGCCCCAATCACCACATGAACACATGGAGATTAAACAACACACTCCTGAATGATGAATGGGTCAAAAGAGAAATTAAGAAAGAAATAAAAGTATTCCTGGAATTAAATGAAAAGGACAATACAACACAACAAAACCTCTGGGACACACTGAAAGCTGTCCTTAGAGGGAAGTTAATAGCTCTAAGTGCCTACATCAAAAAATCGGAACAAACACAAATAAATGACTTAACACTCCAACTCAACACACTTGAAAAGCAACAGCAAACAAAACCCAAACCCTGCAGACAAGAAGAAATAACAAAAATCAGGGCAGAAATCAATGAAATTGAATCAAAGAAAACAATACAAAGAATCAACAAAACCAAGAGCTGGTTCTTGAAAAGATAAACAAGATTGACAGACCGCTAGCCCAAATAACCAAAAGAAAGAAAGAGCACCTCCAAATCAACAAAATCAGAGATGAAAGGGGAAACATCACAACAGACACAAAAAAGATCCAGAATGTTATAAGGGAATACTTAAAAAACTTATATGCCAACAAATCTGAAAACTTAAATGGGTGTATATCTAAAATCATGGGAACCACCAAATCCAAACCAAGAAGAGATCAACAGCTTCAACAGAATGATAACATATAAGGAAATTGAAACAGTAATACAAAATTTCCCATTTTAAAAAAGCCCAGACCCAGATGTATTCATGGCAGAATTCTACTAGACATTTAAAGATCTACATCCAATACTACTTAAATTATTAAAAAAGATAGAAGCAGAGGGAGG